AGAAAATTTGTACCATTTTTCATCCAAGGTACTCAGTGATATGAGATTCTTTGTCAAGTCTGGAACATGGCGAACCTGATCAAGTGTCCTCACTGTTCCATCCTGTAGCCTTAATCTGACTCGACCGATTCCTGCAACCCGACAAGATTGGTTGTTTTCCATGATAACTCCACATTGGTTCACTGTCTCATATGTTTGAAGCAAAGCCTTATTGGGACACATATGATACGAACAAGCAGAATCCAGAATCCACTCCTTAGGTTTAGATTCCCTGTCAGATACAGCCAACATCACATCTCCATCATCACAAAAATTTTCAGCAATATTAGTCTCGTTCGAATTACCTTATTGCCCTGCATGATTCGCATGTAAATCACCTTTACCTTGCAACTTGTCGCAATCTTTCTTGATGTGTCCTTTCCTCTTGCAGTAATAACAATACACATTGCTCTAATTCACCTTCGATCTACCCCTCCGTCAATCACCATGAGTAACAAGAGCATCCCCACTCCTAGATGCAGGATCTCCAACCAATAATTCCATCTTCTCTTTTGAGAACAAGGCGTCGTATACCTCCTCAATGGATAACGTGTCAAGACTATACAGAATAATATCACGAAATGACGAAAAAGAATTGGGTAGCGAACACAACAGGACCAAGGCTAGATTCTCTTCATCATATTTTATCTCCAACGTTTCCAAATCTGCAACAATCTCCTTAAACACAGCAAGGTGGTCCTGCAGTGACCCTCCTTCCGCCATGCTATGAGAATATAACCTCTGCTTTAGAGTCAGTTTGCTCGTCAAACTTTTTGTCATGCATAATTGCTCCAGCTTGAGCCACAAAGCAGCTGCTGTCTTCTCCTCTAAAACATCTTGCAGCAAATTGTTGGATAAATGAAGTTGGATTTGTGCTAAAACCTTCCGATCCTTCCGTTGTTTCTTCTCCATAGACAAGTTTGCTGGCATCCTATCAAAACCTAGCAAAACATCATCAAGATCCATCTGCGTCAACACAGCTTTCATCTTTACTTGCCACAGCAAAAATCTTGTATTGCGATCAAATAGCGGAATTTCATACTTCAACGAATTCATCTCTGAAAAATCTCAATCAAATCACGAAGAACTTGCAACCTACAACACCCAAAACTTAAAACTACCGAACGTGCAAGGGGCAAAATAGTCCAGAACCACAATTTTTTCCAAAACTAAAATTGGACACCACCACAAGGTCCGTCTCGTCGTCCGAAGAAAACTGCCTGAAGACACCATCGCGGGAAACCGCCGCATGAGCCGACACTCTCCTCACTGGAGTTCAACCGCCGGCGACCGACCGGAAACGCGCCGACGACCTGTGACCATTTCTGGACCGTCTCTGCCTGCTGAGTCCACTGGTGGTGTTCATTTCTCCAAACTCTTTTTGGTTTGACCAGAAAACGCAAAAACAAATCTAGCAGAAGATCGAAAAATTGGACAGATTTGTTTTCTGATTTTCTGGTAATTTTTAGACCTTTTTCCGATCAGTTTCAGGCCAAAAATCCACCAACAACCCCGCTCTGATACCACTTGTTAAGACCAATTGACCAATAATGCAGGAATTAAGATTTAATGAATACAACTTATTGTAATTAAAGTAATTAACAAGATCACAAATAACCCAAGAACAAGATCAAAGTAAAGAAATAAAAGAACTGGCAGAGGAACGATGTTATTTTATTCAATCAATGAAAGGAGAGAATTACAACAATAATGGCTTCAACAATACTGAAAGAGGAGCCCTGTATTTATAGTATAAAATCTAGCCTTAAAAGAGTCCCGAAAAAGATAAGAAATCTAATGCAATTTAGACTCCTATTTGAGTCACACTTCTAACAATATTAAATGTTATTGAACATATTTTTCATTTTATGTTATAAAATAATTAAAAAATATAAAAATAGAATTAACTCGCTGGTTCAGCCTTCGAAGTTGAATCAACAACCTAATAAACCGCTTCTTCATTTGGATTAACATCTAGGTTGTTTATTATTTTTATTATTATTATTATTATTATTATTTGTTTTTCGGTGAAGGGTTTATTATTTGATTTTACTTCCTTCCCCTCCACGCCTTCCTACCACACAGATCTATGGGCTCAAATCACAAGCCCAACACGGCTGGTCTCCAGAGGCAGGCTAGCCCACTTGTTGGGCATCTGTAATTCGGCCTATATCTTCTGACACTAGTATTTAAGTGTGTGGAAATTATACAAATTCAAGGATTTTAACATCACAATTCAAAAATCAGGATTGAAATTTCATTGTGCAAAAATCAGGTATCAATATAATAATTTAATATTAATCAACACCCGATTCATCTCCAATTCCATTTTTGAAAACCTAATATCTCTCTCTTCACTTTCCTCTCCAGTCGCCGTCTCCATTATCTATCATCTGACTGGCGGCGATGCGAAGTTTCTGAGAGAAGTCACCGCTACTGGCGTTTCCTTATCCCCTTTCATATTTACAGGAAGCTTCTTTCCTATGCCTTGCCACATCACTCAACGGTGCAGTCGTCTATCTTTTCTCTGCTATCGGATCGACGGTGCGGTTGATGCGAAGTTTCTTGAGAGAAGCTATCATCACCGACACTCCCTTATCCTTTTCCATATAAGCTTGGTTCCTACGCCTTCTACATCACTCGACGGTGCAACGTCGATTGAAGAGGTCTGTGAACATGGCTTGAGACACCACATCATCTTCTTCTTGTTGGCGGTGTTTATGGTGGTGTTGTGTCAGGGGACAGTGATGTTGATTTGGTGGTATTTTTTTATTTTTTATTTTTGATTAGGTTGATTTGGGAGGAAATGATGAAGCCGTGCATCCTACCTTTTCTCATTCTTTCTATTGCAATCGAGTGTAAGTGGTGGCGGCGGTTGTGATGGTTGCGGTGGCGAGGTGGTCGTGGTTGTGGAAGTTGTGGTGGTGGTTGCAGGTGTAGGTGTTGGTGGTGTGATCGCCACATGTTTTTGTGTGAAAGTATATTGGTGCGGTGTTTGTTGGTTTTTGGAGTGGCGGTGGATGCGGTTGTGGTGACAGGTGGTAGTCGTGGCAGTTGAGTGGCCTGCTAGGCATAGTTCGATTGTTGTTGTTGAGGTATTTTAGTTAAGTTTGTCGGTTTTTGGAGTGGTGGTGGTGGTGATGGTGGTGTGGTGTGGTGTGGTGGGGTGGTGTTTGTGACCAACCGATAGATCGGGATTGGGTGTTGGGATGTCTGTGACCAACTTTTTGTCCCCTATGTCACCTTAAAATTCAAGGATTTGTGACTAAAAAGTAATATGTAACTATCAAATTTGAAAATATGTGACCTGTGATCTATAATTTTTTGAATTTGTGACAAAATTTTGATTTGTGACATCGAACAATGTCACAAATCTGTAACCAATTAATTTGATGATATGTAATCAGTAAATAAATGTGACTTATAATTGTGAATATGTAAATATTAATCGTATAACTGTGATTTTATCATCATTATTTAATAAATATTTTTAATTAATTAGTTAAAACCTGATTTTCGCATTAATGAAACTTGTAACTTGAATTTTGAACTATGCATACTTAAAGCCTGATTTATGAAAGTATTTAATACTCATCCATTGGATAAAAGTAGATTATTTATTTATTTTTTGATAAGCTCAAAATTAAAATCCAATCTTAAAATTAGATTCTTTATCCTCTCACTAGTCCTTCCCATTTCTTACCTAACGACCATCTAAAAGAAAATTGATATCTATTTGGCTAATTTATGAATTTCTCGTAAATGGCAAACCTCATTTTTAATTATATTCTGATAAATCTACAAATGTTATCCATTTATCCATCCTCAATTTTATTTATTTACATAAAGAAGACCATTTATAAATTCTTTCCAAACAGAGCCTAAAATATAAAAAAGAAAGAAGAACAAGTAGTCTAATAAGAATCAACAATATCAAATTCGATCTAAAACATCACAACTTGTTTAAATTTTAGTTCACTTACAAGCTGAGAAATGGAAGTTTACTTAGAGTTGATCACTACATCTCAAATGAATCGGTTCAATTGAAAAAGAAAATCCAAAGTTAGTTCAGAAATTAGGTAGTGTTTGATTGGAGGTGAAATTTCATGAAAAATAGAATTGGAATTCCACCTTCCAATTTAATGGTGTTTGATAGCATTTTAATGACCTAGAATTGCATTTCCATGTTTTGTGTCACATCAGCCCAAATCCATCAAATGAAAGAATTGCAATTCTCACCAATATGGTGAGAATTGCAATTCTAGGTTATTGCAGCGTTTTTTAAATTTTTTTCGATTTTTTTTTATTTTGCAATGAAGACAAATTCTAAGGGTTATTGTAAAAAATATTTTCCTTTAATTGACAAATTTCATGTAAAACAAAGTCAAACGAACATAAAAAGATAGATGATTTTCTTGAAATTTTTGTTTTTTTTTTGGCAATGGAAACAAATTTCATCCCCAATATCAGTAAATTATATTCCTTTAATTGATAATTTTCATGTAAAATAAAGTCAAACGGAGATAAAAAAACACTTTAATTTAAACATTTTCCACGTGAAAAATTATACCAATCAAACACAATAATTTACGATTCTCAAGAAAACAATTTCCGATCAATTCAATTCCCTGAAATTCATTTTCTTTCCACCCAAATTCCACTTTTGCAATTAAACGGACCCTTAGGTTAATTACAAGATAAAATACGAAAATTTTACTTTGAGTTAACTAGTTCAGCTCCAAAATGATTTAATTATAATTAGAATTGACCAATTCCAATTCAAACCTATCTTTCATATGTATAATAATGAAGAATAATATTATTTGTTGTCGCTCAATCGTCACAAGTATGTCACGTAAGACGATTGTGATAGTGAACAATTGCAAAAGGTAGCAATTGTGTGAGACACGAGGAGGACAGGGCCTTCATTTTCAGAAAAAATGAGATATGAGGTCGGCCGGTTCGATTTGGTCTACTCTGGTCCGGAAAATGACAAGTGAGATACTTGCCTACGACTTGATATAAGTCATGAAAAGACAACTATCAATTCATACGCCGATAAGCATCACCGCCGCTTCGAAAAATCTTAATCACACAAAAAGTTAAAACACTCGTCGCTCTAATATCTCTCCCTCTCTCTCGAATTTCGATGAACAGAGAAAAATGGGCTATTCTTTTGAACGGCATATCAATGCCTTTTTGTGGTTATCATTGATTTCCGTGACTACTTTTTTGCTCAGAGAACTTGCTAAGGTGTTCAAGTTATGGATCAAAGCTCGGCACATACCAGGCCCTCCTTGCACTTCCTTCTACGGACACTGCCGCCTGATTTCTGAATCCAATTTCACTGGTTAGTTTGTAATTTCTGTTTTCTTCTTAATATACGCATTCTTGTGTTTAAGAAACTAAATTTGCATTATGTACGTGTACAAAAATTGGTGCTGAAAGTTCTAGTTGAAGACTAATGGGGAAATGAGCGAGTGAGAATAATATTGAATTTAAATTTTGGAGATTTTGTCTGTAATGAAAACTAGAATATCCTCTCTTTTGTTGTACCTTGTGCCGGGATAGGTGTACCTTGAGTAAGAGGTTAGAACGTGCGTAAACTAGCAGAAGAAGTCGATGCTTTTACCATAAATGGAATTAAAACCTAAAGATGAAGATGGATCATCTCTAGTGCCGTATTGTACCTTGTGCTTCGAGCCTAGTTGGCTGGGGGTGGGGAGAGAGATAGAGAGAGAGATTAATTGAACATGTAATGACCATCACAGTTGATCTTCCATTGAAGGTGGCAAGAAAAGTAAAACGAAAGGGAGAAATTAACTGATCATGTAATCTTAATGTTAGTTGATCTTCCGTAGAATGTGGGAAGAAATTTTTTAAAAATATATGGAAAAAGGAAAAATTAATTGTACGTGTACCTATAACACCATTTGAAGTGTTGTACTTTATGCTAACGGTAGTTGTAAGTTCTGGCCTGCTGGAGTGAAAAATGAGTCTTGAAATGCAGTTGTTGACAAATTTCTAGACATTTTGTTTTCCTTGAACTGCATTAATATAAATTTTATATTCGTAGAGATACCAAAAGAACATAAATGATGCCATACACTTTGGTTTTAATTTTCCAGACCTTCTGTCGGAGTCACACAAAAAATATGGACCGGTGGTGAAGCTATGGTTAAGGCCTACTCAACTTTTGGTGTCAATAAAAGATAAGGAACTGATCAAAGAGGTACTTTTAAATGCTGAGGATAAGCTGCCTCTGACCGGAAGGGCAAGCTACCTGGGTTTTGGAAGATCTAGCCTTTTTATCTCTTCTTTTGACAAGGTGTGCTATGACTGGCCTTCTAATTATCATTTTGGCATTTTTTTCATCTTTCAAGTACTTTATGTGAATCAGTAATCAAATTTTCTCTGGCATTGCATATATTAGTATTGATGCTGTATTGCTTGATGACCATACAGTTACAAATAAGTTTCATTGAATTGCAAATAAGTTATAAATAAGTTTCATTGAATCGCTAGTAAGAGCTTTATGTAACAGGAGTGAAAAAATTTGACAAAGTATTACAATGGAAATTTAATTCAAATCTGAAATGACCAATTCACTTACATTTTGCTCTATCAGGGTTTCTCTTCACATTTGCGTTGCTTGCTGCTGAATAATGTATATGGAGCGCATTTGGTCATTGAATAAATGAAATTTTGACAAGTAACTAATTAAGTTCATGCATAAGGCGATGATTTTTCGAATTTCTCCTTCCCTTTTGCTAATTAGTTTTCTAGTTTGCTTAATCATGCTAATGTTCAGTTTGGTAACCATAATTCTCCATGTTAGTGGGCCCTATCATTTCCCCCTACAGTTGGTGATGTTGTATCTGTTCGTTTATAATGTTTTCGTTTGGATTAATAATTCGATTTCGACCCTGGTATTTCCAATTTATAAAGGGTGAACTAACATTCACTTCATTTTACTGAAAGCTTTCTTGAACGCTTAAAGCCCAAACTAATCTGAATGCCATATTTTTTCCTAATTTACTTTAAATGAATAAAAGATGATCAATACGATTAGTGCAGCTGTGGTACGTCAAGTTTATGGCTTTTTTACCATTTGTAAATTACCTTTAAATACTTCAGTTAGATCGCATTCAAATGCTTTTTTCTGTCTAGTCTAGCTCAATTACTCAACCTACCACAAAATGTATGATTTGCATAGTAGGCCATTTCAACCATGAAGGTAGGTGATAGGTACAATGATGAGAAATCATGTATACAAGATTTTTGCACCAGACCTCTTAACCTCTGATCGAGCTATGGACATGAATAAGAGGTGGCTGGGGGAGGAGGGGAGGGGCTAAGGGCTTCCTTTTCAATCAAGCTACAGCAGCTATTGATGTGAGTTGTAAAGTGTCTTGGTATATTTTTTATTACGCCTGGCCTAAATTTAATTGGGAAAAGGCCTAGTGCCTGTGGTGATAATTGATTGGTTTTGGCCTCTAATATGAAGGCAGCCCTTTAAGCATAATTCAACCTCATGATGTATTTCCATCTACAAGTTAATATTGTTTATATTATTGCCACATGATAATGAAAGTAGTAAAAGACATTTGAAGTACACTTTAGAATGCTTGCTTGGGTCTACTTATTATGTTAATTGCTGCACTTATGTTGCTTATATGCGAATTTTGTAACGTATAGCATTATCTGGATTTTTATGTCAAACTAATCGTGTATCGTTTATCTTTCTTGTCATGGCTAATTAAAAATGATTATAGGTATCTGCACTTGTATCATTGTTATTTTTTGATATATGTCTATTCATTATTTTCTACAGGTGGAAGATCAAAGGAAGTCCTTGGAAGTGGAACTAAATGCGTCATTGCTTGAAAGAGGGAGTTCAGTTCCTGCTAAAGTTGTGAAGAGCGTCCTGGAAAGGGTTCAGACTCTCGTGGTCGACGGAGGTCTACACTGTGAAACTATTTCCCAACATCTGTCTTTTACTCTCATGGGAGCTACATTGTTTGGGGATGTATTTTTGACTTGGTCTAAGGCAAGTGTATACATAGAGCTACTCATGAAGATTGCCAAGCATGCTTGCTTTTGGTCATCATATGGTGTTACCCGTTATTGGAAGCAGGAATTTTGGACCTACCAGCAATTATGTTCCGAGTTGAAGGGGTTAACCCAAGAACTTATCAGACAATGCAGACAGAAATATGAATCAGACTCTCTTGAACGAGATTTTGATAGATATCACATGAGACATGAACCATGTGCAGAGATGATAAGTATGATGTTTCATGGGTCTTTAACTATGTCCACACTTATTGGTAACATCTTGACAAGGCTTGTTACACATCCAGAAATACAGCATAAGGTGACTCTCTTAACATGTTCGTTTTGAGATATTTCAATGTATACTTCTTCAGCACGACGCTTCTTGTAAAGGCTTGTTTAGTTAAATTTAATAACAATGAACGATAGCCTCACCATGGAGATTCTAAATTACTTTGTTACTCGAGGGCCAGTTGTGTAGTAAATAAAAGCTTGAGTTCTCAACCCATTGTGTTTATTGTAAAGGCTACCCAGATTATATTTGCTGAATTTTTTGTGTTTATGGTTTGTTTTCTGATAGATTTTGCAGATTTTATGTTGTTGCTTATTTTTTCCCGTGAGTCATTTTTTTTTGTTGTTGTTGCTTATTCATAATTTTCATCAAGTACCAACAGAAGTACACTCTTGAGATTCCCGTTTGTCTCATAGATGCTCAGATTACTATAGAAATTTTTTGTATTGCTTCAGAATTTTATTCCTCGAGCTCCTTGTATTTTCAGAATTAAGATCAACGGTCACACAAAATCCAACAAGTCTGAATGAAGACCTGGGGATCCAAATTTTGAGAAGTTGATCTAACAGAAAACACAGCCAAATTATAAAGGACATAGTTCATCAAACTTCGACTATGTTTTATATCTTTTGTGGGATATTAATTGCTATCTTTCATGACATATTTGTTAGGGCTATTTATTGATAAATCTCTAGTTTCTGATTTACATGTCATGGATTTGTATAGATTCAATCAGAGATTATTATGGTGCGGAAAATATCACAAAGACATGATCAGCAGGGTGTTGGTGGGCTTCCCTTTCTATTGGCAACTTTATATGAATCTGCTCGTCTTCTTCCTGCTGGTCTTTTCCTGCAACGATGTTCTTTGAAACATGGTAGAAGAATTTTTTTCTGCCATATTGGATTTTCCCTATATAACATTATCTGTGGCTGCCTGCTTTGTTACCTTAATACTCTTCCTTGCCTATGCATTTTTACCTGGGGTATTTTTGGATCTGCGTCGACATACTTATATCAAACTGTTATGAGTTAGATAAAGTCAAATTCTCTCAACATATTAGGTTTTATTTTGCCCAAATGTATTTTTCGTGTGTGAACTCTTCCACGGAGATGCCTTAACCCAATACGTTTGGAGACAATTGTAAATGATCGTCTGCATAAAGACGGTAATTTATATGTGCTATCTTTTCTCATAGTATGCTTTCTCTGTTTTCTTATTCATCTTTCTGAAATGCAATTAACATTTATTACTACTTTTTTCTTCGGCCTCTTTTTTATTTCTTATCATCACTTGCGTTGGGTAGCTAATCAGGGTTATCGTGATAGACTGATAAATATGCTATATATCTGCTATACTTGGATTTAGAATATCTATTGTCGAAGCTCCTAAACAATGCAACATCCATAGAATATAATTGTCTGATTGATGAATTTTTTTGCAGTTCTATTTCTATGTGACAGACTTCTTTGCACAACATATAATTTTATACTAAAAAATTGTTATCAAATAGGTTCATTTTTTTTAGGGAAAATTGCAGCTGAGGTACCAAACCTTTCGTTTATTAGCAGACTTTGCCCAAACCTTTAGTTTGTGCCACCGGAGGTACCAAACCTTCAAAAAATGCGCACCCAGAGTCCAAATTGACAGAAACCGTTAGTTTGACCATCAAAATCGTTAGTTGACCCCAAAATTGACATTGACCAAAATTTTGACTGATTTTTAAAGGGTCAAATATGTAACTTTATATTTTTCATATAAAAATTTAAAATAAAAGAAATATACTTCATCTTCTCCACTTCACCCTACAAACATCTACCCCAAAACCAAAAACAAGGAACCACTCACTTCACCCTACAAACACAACCACCCCAAAACCAAAAATCAGGAACCACTCACTTCCCTACCTGCCAGCCGACCGGCCAATGCTACCCCTTCAACGCCAGTCAACCGCCCAACGCTATCCCTTCACTGCCTTCAAATTCTCCAAATAAAAAGTCGACCGCCCAACGCCATACACATTGCTGCTCCGCCTTACGCAGCCTTGTTATTTTCGCCTATCACCTCAAACAACGGCTTGACAAACAGCGATGCCACCCCATCACTCCCTCCTCCACCCTTCAAGTACAGTGCAGACAGCGAGCCAACTATATCGCAATATGCCTCCCTAACCTGGGAATCTGAATCCTTCAGCCTCATTGCCAAATGGGATGATAAAGAAGATGAAGATGAAGCAGAAGACGATCTCGGAGGGCCTGATTGGTTGGAAGGATTTGAGGGTTTTGAAGATCTTTGGGAGCTCATTTTTAATGAAATTTTTGGTCAAGAGTCTCGAAACAAATTCGATGGGAGATTTTTTTGCTTCTCCTCAATGATTGTAACTGCATACTAACTAAATCCAGTTTTCTCTTCGACGTCACAATTGTATCTTCAATCATCTGAAATACAAATTTCAGCCAAAAATAAAGGGAAAAAATCATATCTAAAATTCATAAAAACGAAAATTCCAAATTCTTAAAATTGGATTTGGCTCTAGGATTGGAGAAGAAGGGAAGTGTGGCGCAAATTCTTGTAATGACTGGAGGTTGAGACGGTGGTGCTGGTTGTGGCGGTGGATGGTGACGGTGGTGGTTTTTGGGGCTCTGGGATTGGGGAAGAAGGGAAGGGTGGTGGGTGGTTTTATATTTTGATTTTTGTTTTTTTAAATTTAATTATTAATAAATATTATAATTGTCTTTTTTGTTAAAAAAATGTAAAGTTACAATTTTAACCTTAAAAAATCAGTCAAAATTTTGGTCAATGTCAATTTTGGGGTCAACTAACGGTTTTGATGGTCAAACTAACGGTTTCTGTCAATTTGGACTCCGGGTGCGCATTTTTTGAAGGTTTGGTACCTCCGGTGGCACAAACTAAAGGTTTGGGCAAAGTCTACTAATAAACGAAAAGTTTGGTACCTCAGATGCAATTTTCCCTTTTTTTAATAAAGCACCATCACAGTTCCAGTGTGGTTTTTAGGCTCCATTGAGACAGGATGGATGGGGTTCGGATTCCCCTACCATGATATAAATGAAAATAAATAAAGTTTTAATCAGTATTTTTTCGCAGTGTCATTAGCCTTTCTTCCTCTAATTCTGTTGAGTCCATAGTTACATAGACGACAATGTTTGCTGATACGACTTAATGTTACATGTTAAATGCTGAAAGTATCATAGCAGTATATTATCAGGTTAAAAAGATTAATAGATTTTGTTAATGTTACCTGTTAAACAAGTTACTGGTTTTGGGCAGAAGCAAAATGATTGCTCATAAGCTTCTTTCAGATAAGCACTTTATTTTCTTAAAAATCCAGACACTGTGTCAAACTTGGGATCATTGGAGAAGTTATAATCAATATTTTGTTGAGATTCATGGAGATTGTCGCTGAGTTACCCAAGAAAATGTACTATCAAGATATTTGAACCCTGTGATTTTGATGCCTAATAGGGAAACTAGAGACTAGGAATGAAAAATTAGTTTGGCTAGTCTGGTCGTATCATATGACCTTCAACGAGGCTGTGATTACCAAAACTTTCATAGCTTTCTTTTGAAATGCTCTGAATTCTGACATTATCAGTGTAGAAGTGAATATGCAACAATTGAGTGCCATTAGCTGACTGCTTATAGGAGATGATAATTTGAGATGTTTTACCAGATGAGCAATCTGATAGGATCCTGTTGAAGTTGCTGTTCAATCATAGAATCAAATACAGAAATGAAGACAAAGGCAGAAGCAAATGAAGGCTATTGGAACTTGTAATATGATATCTATAATATAGAACCACTGTAATTGGTAGAATTATGATAGCAGGAAAAAAACAGCAGTAATCTGTAAAAGTGTATCTCTATATTCTAGTAACAATGAAAAGAAATAACAGGGTATTTGGCATTCGAGAGGCCAATCTCTCCACTAGACTTTTCCATATTTCAGTATGCCTCTATTCTCCCCTGCTTCCTGTTTATATACTGGGTTGTGTAACCACCCTTTTCAACCATTTCTGTTATCCCCATGTGTTGGTTGATTATTTCACTTGTCAATTTCCTTTGCTGCTCTTATTGGTTTTGCCATGATGCACCGGATATCATTAATGGAGCCTATCACAATCCCCAGCATATTTGTGCTTCACGACACCATTCAGCTTTTGAAATTTTTGGATCCTGGATGAGATCGTGAACTAGCAGAAGTTAGGGTCCTCCTGAGGTCAAATTGCCGTACACTGCTTATTAATGATGTCATCCAAATTTCTGGTACCGGAGTAGCTTTTATGACAATATATTGGGTCATTATTGAAATTTTAAGATTCTTCCTGGACATAACCGCTTCTAGATTTTTCATTGCATATGTCGTCGTTTACTCAAGTATGAAGCAGTTAAATGTAGTCTTCTCTCCTGCAACTCCACGTATGTGACTAATTTGTTTTTCTCCTCTTTTTTCCTCTTAAATTTTTGGCTGGTGCTATTCAATGAAGACATGAGTCTCAATAATGGTATTATAATACCAGCTGGGGCAGTTCTTGTTGTGCCAATTCAGTTGGTTCAAATGGATGTATCCAGTTGGGGGAATGATGCAAGCAAGTTCAATCCATATCGATTTCTTTCCAGGATTGAAGAGACGTGATGCAGATCAGAAAAAGTCATTGGCAGGTTAGGTTACTGCATACCATTGTTGTTTTCTGTGAAATTTGTTATATTTGGAACATTGCATCTCATGTATGTGAAATAAGTTATATTATCATGACCTTGGCCCTTTATATCATGGTCATTCAGTTGCTAATTTCCACTGGAAACAACAAAAATAAATTAAAGAAGTGAAAGTAAGTACTTGATTTTAGGACAGGTTTAATGCAAATAAAGTAAAGTGGGAACTATGGAATGAATTGGAGTTCAAAGTTATTCTGTTACTCTATGTTATGATGCTTATCACAGCTGTGTCAACCTCATGTTTTAAGTTCCTAATTGGGACATTAAGTTTCAAATATATATTGTCCCTTTATGTGCATGTGTGTGTTTGAGGCACTTTAGATGAATGAGTCGTATTTAACCCCTCTTGGTGGCTTTTAATTTGAAAAATCCTATGTTTTGTATAGTATTTTTTGGAGAATGTGTAGTTAAAAATTGGGGAAAAGTTTTTTGAGTTCACGTGTAGAATATTTTATTGTGTGAATGTATGGTTGAAAATGAGTATGAGAAATAAATTAAATTAAAGGCCACCAAACATGGGCTTAGTGTATGACTGGGACGCATTATGATTTCCTTATAATTTAATGGTTAACATCACACATTAATTTTAACAACATATTTCGTAGGACCCACAAATTCATCACTCATTTCTATCATATTATAATTTCTGCAACTTAAGTCAAACTAATGAAAATTTAGTTGGCACCAATCATATATATTGTTTTCTCTCTATGTGATATTATTACCAATTAAACGATGCTACATTTATTTGACATATTTCATGCTTCTTCGGCAGGATCTTAGGTCAATATCTTAATGTAACTCCAATTTACATATTTTGAGTACTCTTCTTCATGTCAACTGTGTCTGTATCTCACCGTGCACTAGCAACAAATTTTTTTCCTTCTTCCCACTTTAGGGTATAAAATGGTGAAGACTCTTCCTGGTAACTTATATTGGGTGTTTGCTTGGGCTGTAAATTTGTGTTTTCTCCTTTGTGATTTGTCAATGTGTTTTTCACGTATTTGTGTCTTGTTTTCTGTTGGGTCATATGAGTCCGACGAGTTTGTAAGGTTTCTTCTCATTGTGCAAACTAGATCTTGTTGATGAAGGGGATAGCTCCTATATTGTGAAAGACCCAAGTGAAAATGAAGCTTTTCTCCCATTCGGATCTGGTGTCCGTGCCTGCCTTGGAGAAAAAATAGCAATCCTTGAAATTTCAACACTAATTGCATCTCTTCTTGAACACTACGAGGTTTGCTCCGATTCACCACCTTTCCTATTGAATGTTCGCATTTGTTAAATTGTGCAATAAACAGATGCCAAGACAGATCTTGCTTATGTATCATGTAACCCATTCTGCATAAACTTGTTGGAGTTTCGAATGACATGGCTGAAAATCATTTCACTTGGTCTCATGTTTGAGCACCATCGAAAACCACATGTATATCTGTTCACTCAATGAATGGCATACTTTCTGTTTGTTCCAGTAAAATTTAAATTTTGTTGCATTCTGCCTTCTGATCATCGATCACCTTGTTGAGTCGTCTTCTCGAAATATTTAGTTGACTTCTGCCACTTGGCATTGTAATGCAAAAAAGTGATAATTTTACTCAGCACCTTCATTTTAATCCGCACTCTTCTGCAGGTAAGGCTTCAGACGGGATCTGAAAGCAATCCAAATTCTATGGGGAACAATTGTGTTCCTCGGCTTCTTCCAAATCCCAAGATAATTTTTTTGAAAAGGCAGAAGTAAATAAATGGAGCAAATTTTGGTATGTGTCAATCCTTTTTCCTTCTGAACTACGTGGGATGCAGTTTTTGGGGCTCATTTCGCACTCAAAGCAGAAGGATGTTATGTGAGTATAATATTTCTATGTTCATAGTTTTTCCTCAGTCTTTGAGATGGCCTGCTGTAAGTTGTACCTTATTCCATTTGCTTCCCCCTTTTTTTTTTAAACATGATGTGGAAATAATTGGCAATGTAAGCATTTCTGTGTATGTATAAAAAATACATTTTTTATTTATATTTATAGTTTGCACACTTTATTTTAGTTATTCATAACAAATGACATTTTTTTTGCTAGAAAAATGGCAATATATAAAAATTTGCATCATAAATAACTAAATAGGTCAAATACCCATAATTTGAAGATAACAAATCATATTCTATGTTATGTTACTTAACACTTTACATACCATTTTTATTATTCTCACTTAAAATTTTCTCATAGAAAAATAAAAAGCAGAAACTGAAAAATTATGCATGGATGCTTTAAAATTTGTGAAGTTAGAAAAAAATATTACCCTATAACGTCAACTTAAAAAAAATAAAATAAAATCATATCATATATTAATTTACTTAATTGTTGAACATAAATTATTTATTGGAAGATGACCAGTAATTTCCCTTCGTACAATTGATGCATTTTTCAATATTAGATTATTAGTATTTATTTTCTATTTTTCATGTTGTAGTTCAAAGAAATGAAGACCGTAAATTTTGTAAACATTCTTACCATCTTATAACCAACTTTCTTTTTTTTTTTTTTTTTAATAAAACATCAAAAGATTTTAGTAATTAAATTTTGAAAAATAATAAAATAATTAAACAATCGGTGTCAATTTTATATAATTTAACATATAGGGCGTGATCTTTAAGTTAGAGTATGCTCTGGTTTGTTTAGCTATTTATAATAACAAATTTGTAAATACTTCAATTTGTCATTTCAATCTTCCCATTTTTTATTTTTTATTTTTTATTTTTTTACCACCAACTAAAATACATTTTGCAAAATAAGGTATGCAATTGTAAATACACTCTAAATGCAAAATGTATTTTGTAAATTCCCTAAAATGAATGAATAAATATTTTTTACAATTGAGAAAATGATAATTATATTCATAGCTTAACACTAATTTTGTAAATGTACCACATTTTTTTTTGCAATGCACTTCCTAACCCCTTTTTTTTTAATACTTATGTCTTTAATTTTATTATCGCGTTCGTATCCTTAACATTCTATTAATTGGTAGTTTCTACTAAAAATATCTATTAGGAGGATGTAAAAAGACTTATTTGCCCCTTATATAATTAAATAACAAAAAACAACAACTATAAAATTCGATAAAATATTTAATTACCACTCTTGTCAAAATATTTGAATTGAAATTGTCACAATAGAAATATGCTAATTGAAAGTTAATTAAGAATGTGAAGAAAAAAGTTGAAAACATAAGTACAAAACTTGTGATTATTTTTCCTTTTTTGTTCTATTTCTACATGTCATTGCCATCACACAATTTATAGTGACGTTATTTTATTTCCATTTATTAAAATTTAATATTATTAAAAATTTAATTAAATAGATACGCCTTTTAAGAAAGAAAATAAATTTATATATATTTCAGTTATGCAAGGAAACTTGTGAAGAGAACTCAATTAACAAGTCGGAATTAAAGCCTAATTAACAGTAATCAAGAGTAGTTTTTACTGATTTATAAGTTTTAATAGGATCCAAATGCAAACTAGTTTAGAATATATAAATATAATAAAAATTTATTACACGTTAAAATTGTTAATTATGTTCTAAATTTGGTTATATAATGCCAACCAATGATTACAGAAAGAGATACGTTTCCATATTTAAGTGATTTAACATTAAATATATCTCTATATGAACTTCATAGCTTCGTTATTTTTTCGAACTTGAGAGGAAAAATAAGTGGTTTAGCAATGGAAACCTTAGACAAGGCAATGAAAATGAAGGAAAAAGTTGTGGAACAAGGGTCCCAATTGAAGGTAGACGATGAACGTACTTCTCGTGTTGTGTTAGATCTCGAGCTTTTTAATCCAGGATCTTCTCGTACAAGTGAGTCATCAAAAGAGGGGCGACGATTAAAGCCTAAAGTATTCACATGCAGCTTTTGCAAGAGAGAATTTTCGACTTCTCAAGCACTTGGAGGGCATCAAAATGCCCATAAACAAGAGCGTGCATTGGCCAAAAAACGACATGGCCTAGTAATGGAGGCTGCACGACCAACACCTCCTCCTCCTCTGGGCGGTGGCCAACAACCGTATCCCTACCGTCCTTACTCCAACATTCCTCATCATCAAACGATCCCTTTTTGTGGCGCTTCGGATAGATCACTTGGTTGGGTTCGATCTGATTCCTTGATTCATAAACAATCTTATAATCCATGGTTTTCGTCTAACCATGAAAAGTTGTCTAGGCCAATTTTTCTGAACTCGTCGACATCATCGTATGATAAGCTGTTGGGGCAAAATAATCAAGAACTTCAATTGGGACATGCAAATAGTGATCAAATTGATGCAGCGGGAATTGATTTGAATCTAAAGCTTTAATTTATTCATTTTTTTTTTAAATTTCTTGAATTTTTACAGCTTTGATTTACTATTTATTACATTTATCCATTTTTCTTGTAATGAATGAAATAAATTAATTATTGAATTGAATTGCTATTCTTCATCAATTTGAAATTTTCTTATTACTATGCGATGGCATGTAATTTAATTACTTTTTTTTACTGTCTTTCTCTCCCTAAATTAATGAAAGCAAAGACTTAATCAATATTTTTTTATGAAATCAATATTAATTTTTAAATCAAACCTTTTCCCAAATAGGTTGGAAAAGCACTCAAAAAAAAAAAAAAGTTGGAAAATAGTGTTTGTACTTGAAAGCTCTAAAAGGTTATGATAATTTGGGTTGCAAAATTTAAAAGTTTACTTTCAAGTGAATTTACTTGTAAGTAGAAAACAAAAGTCTACAATAAGGGTTTGTTTGAACCACATTTTTTCAAAAAAATACATTCTTAAACAGTGATTTAACATCATTTTAACCACATTTTTCAATAAAATAATATTACACGCAAATCCAAAAATTTTCTTTATTTTTTAACCACATATTTCCCATCAATGCACTATTCAAAAATTCATTTTAAGGAAAATAATGTGTCTCAAACAAGGGCTAAATAACTTTTTAAGTGTATTTCGAAAGTAAAAACATAGATTTAGGAGGGAAAAAAAAAGAGTTACTTAAACTTAAGAGGAAAAAATTCAATGAAGGAAAACATAAAAGTAACATTACCTTTTAGGCTTCGGCAAATATACTAAGAAATTGGTATAAAATGAAAGCCATTAAAATCTTTACGGAAAGTCTAATTTTCCTTGGTTAAATAGAGTTCAAACTAGGTACGTTGGCTTTTGTTTTCCTTTTATTATCTAGCTCAAGAGTTTTCTTGCCTAATGCTTAAAAATTGTGACATAAAAATAAAAATAAATTATTCACTCTTAGGTTACAAATTAATATTCAATATATGCTTAATATAACTAAAGCGGGTAGTTTCATATGAGCCTATTCGGTAATGATTATAAGAATCAATTTTTTTATCATTAGAAATAAAAGTAAATTCTTTCTGTAAGTGAAGAAGTAAAAAATGGCGGCTGATATAGGAAAGTAACGATCAAAAAATTGATTTTTTTGGAATCAAAAATCAAAACCAAACAGGGTAAAATAAAAATAAATTATTCACTCTTAGGTTACAAATTAATATTCAATATATGCTTAATATAACTAAAGCGGGTAGTTTCATATGAGCCTATTCGGTAATGATTATAAGAATCAATTTTTTTATCATTAGAAATAAAAGTAAATTCTTTCTGTAAGTGAAGAAGTAAAAAATGGCGGCTGATATAGGAAAGTAACGATCAAAAAATTGATTTTTTTGGAATCAAAAATCAAAACCAAACGGGGGCATAAAAAATAGATGAAACAAGGTGCTGTTTATGACACTAACTCTCGAGGGGCACAACGTAAAATTAATTTTGCACATAAAGAAACAAATTTTCTCTAACAATTTGGTCGATTTTGGGTTCGATAATCATCCCTACTTTTGCATGCAATTACTAATTGCTTACAATCTGGATAGATTCATTAAGAATGGAAAGTGGTAAGCTAACTATAATAAAAATATATACAAACTGGTGACTAGGAAATTCATATATATTCATACAAGTCCCTTGCTTGTCTGCACTGAAAGAGGTATTTTTATGGTTATGTTGATCATAAAGTTTATTCACATTTCTATATTGACAAATTCATAACGTTTAATCAAAGTTATTACGTCAATATAATCACAAGCGATCATTTGAAAACTTAAATAATTACTAAATTCACGCAATAAGTGAAGATGGCAAACATGTCCTTGAGCTCTTTCTAGGTGGATCGCTTCAATCAAGACATTGCTTAAGACCAACGTGTCACACGACAGGTGCACGATAGACTTTGCACTTTTCATCCTTCAGCCCTTCACCTACTTATAAAAGCCTTTCTCCGTCTTCAACTTCGATTCGTTATGCTCATAAACTACAACAAACCTTAAAATCTCTTATCGCCTATGCCAAGAGAGCACTGCATTACCATTGATCCTATAAGCCCAGGGAATGCTATGCATTCTCCACTGAAACAACTGCATGGCACTAGCTTTTGTAGACATGGTTCAATTATTCCCATTTGTCTCTATTTATCGATGGAGAGGTATATGAAGGAACGAATCAACGTTGTAAGAGGTTGCGCACTGGTTTTTGTTGGCAGCATACTTGACATATAAGTTGGATTAATCTCGTTTACCAGGGCCCATGCACCTTGGTTGAACTCTTCTCCTTGGATGAACTCTCATATTACTGAAAGTTCACTTCGATAATAATGGTGAAGACTTCTTGATTCACTAGCCCAGCACTTCTTCCAACTCCGTCTCGAAGAGTAACTAGGACCAATTTAATAACCATTTCATCTTCCAATTGAAGACTCTCTACTCGGGTATTTTGATTTTCACCTAGCAACCCAAGCAGGCAGCAGAAAATTTCAATGTTACCTAACAATGAAAGAACTTGACATCTGTATGTTCCCAACCTACAATTACAGAGTCATGGCTGTTTATCATAGCTAAAACTGCTGATCAAGTATTGTATTGGAAAGAGATATACAAGCCGATCTCAAAGTGAACTCACCACGAGTGTGCCCATATCTCACAAGAGAAATATCGGCCATAAACTTGACACCAATAGCTGGCTAGCTATGCAACCGGTACAAATCTTTGGAGAAGTGAAGATAAATCTAATGAGAAAAAGGATAAGCTGTCAAGGATAAAAACAAACCGTTGCTCCACTACTTTTGGCACCATATAAATCATAAATAAGATTTTTCTTCAACAGTAGCAACATTGATCCTTGCATTGTCTCTGAAGCATTTTCAGCATGTACCATGTCTATCGCAACTGGAGCAAAATAGTCCTTATACTTCCAATGCATTCTGCAAGCATGGTAAGGCATTGGCGCAAGCAATTGCAAAAGTGAGACGCCAAGAGCATTGAGAATGCATCTTTGCAAAATTTAGCCCCCGTTTGGCCCCCATTTTTTGGAAATGAAAATGGGTGAAATAGTACTTTTTTGAAAAATGAGTGGTTGAAAAAGAAGGAAAATTTTTGGTTTATGTGTAATATTATTTTATGGAAGATTGTGTGGTTGAAAATAAGAGAGAAAAAATGGAATGTAATTTAATGGAGGCCAAACAAGGGCCTAATATGTACACCCTTACTATGTCCTGTCTAGTACTTGAATGAATCCAAGAAAAGACCGAGAGTTAGGCCAGCCTTCCAATAATTGCTCATGGTGATCAAGTTTCTTATGTTATCCACCAAGGGAAGTGAAGACTTATACATGAGAGCCCCTATACCCTCCACTACAGCTACAGTTAAAGCAGCAGATAGAATGTCCCAGTCCCCTGTTTGCCCTATTACAGTTGCAAAAGCGGTAGCACAATAAAAGCCAACCAAGAAAAACATTAACTTGACAGGAAGATTTTTCCTCAATTCCTTGATTCTAGCATTCAACTTTACTTGAAGAGCTTGGATGGCCCTAATAAGCCTAGTTCCACCAGTGTCATTTGGTGAAGAATTTAGTCTACCACCATCGGCTGCACTTCTAATAGACCATGCCATCCTCCTAAACAATTGTAATATAAGTTTTAGCTTACATGCATGCATAAATGCACTTTAAAAACATAGAATCTAAGATCTTTGTTTATCTAAACAATGACATGGCATCCGTTAAGAATCTAATTATTTTTAATAATCTCTACGAGAGTCTTGAAGAAACCAGTGTAAGAAAAATCAACATTACTATTCTAAATACTCAAGTTGTCGAACATAGAAGTGTGAGCCACATGACAAAATGTCAACTGCAAGTGCAAAAAATTTTCAAACGAAAAACAGTGCAGCTAAGGCAATCAGATAAATAGATGGCAAGAAACCTTGATCTGGAACTTCTAGGTATTAGGCGTTCGAAACTTGTCAAATAGCCAGGTGATGGCATTTTAGTAGCAATTACCATGAAGAAACCTGAAAGCCAAAACGCAGAATTAGTTTGAAGCTTTAGCCCTCAGTATTTGACTACACCAAGCATTCTGCTCACTAAATTGAATTTGTTATGCACTTTATTGGAGTTAGTAGCTTTATCGTTCAATAAAAAAGTAAAGAAACTGAAGCAGCCTAATTATGTTTAATCTATTCAAGCCACACAACCCAATCACAAAGAAGTTTCAGAAGCAAATTTCCTTTGGCATCCAAGTTTTGGTCCTCCAAATTTAAAGAATGGCCCAGTACCATTGTAAAACATAAAGCTTCAGAAGCAATTCGTCATCATTTTTTCACAATTTAAGTTTTAATGCTAACATCGAAAAGTTAATTTCTAAATATTTGAATTATCCATACTTCCTAAGTTTGATAATCTAGCTTTTCTATATAAAATCATCTACAAATGAGAATTAATGACAGCACTCATAGATTAACTATTTTTGGTAAGAAAAGAGCAGATAATAACATCCATATTTGCCCATTGATAAAGGATAACTGATAAGTAAAACATGGCGGCCAGTGGCCACAAATGGTCAAAACATCTAATAATAAAAGAAAATGATGAAAATAAAGAATGAACAAAAGGAACAGAAAAAAAAATAAAATACATCCAGTTATCTCAATAAATTCCACAGACAAACTCGTCAATTAAGTCCAAAGGAGAAATTTTTACCCACCTTCGAGCGCAAAATGGTAAAAGGATGGTACCACATTACAAATTTACATGCAAAATATAATACCCTACCAAATAAATTGTGTTCTGCCCCCAATAATTTGGACATTACAACAGAATAGGTAATAATATTAAATTACAACAATTAGACGTGTAAATATTCAACCTTCTTGAAAATTAAGGCTATTACTTTAATCTTCTGTAACCTAGCATTTCTATTTCACGGCTCTCTTTTCCTCCAAAAACACGTTTCAATCCACGCTTAGAGAATTCTCTTAATTTTCAGAAAAAGCAAGTAGAAAAAATTCATACTAAAACGGTCTCCTTAGTCCTAATGGAGTAAAATTTTAATTTCAGATTATAAAATTAAATTTTTAAAAAATAGGAGAAAAATAATTAATGGGTCGACAGAATTTACCCGATCGGAGACCTCGACGGAGAATTACCAGAAAATTAACTAGACTTAGTTTCGTTCGAGGTTATGCCGTCTGGTTATTAGCGGTGGTTGCGGGAAGATGCGTAAAACCCTTCCAGCAGGGAGTTGTTAAACAAGAGTCGTCACAGCAATTTACTGCTTTCTCTTGTTGATTTTTGTGGGTCCCATCGCCAGGAATCAACCCATCTTCCAAACAAGTTAGAACGATTTACGAAAATTGGCTTTGCATTATATTTAAAAAAAAAAAAAAAAAAAAAAAAAAAAAAAAAAAATGGGTTAAACCCTAACCTTAAGGGTCCCCCACCACCCCTGCCCTAGAGCATCATGAGGAAGGTAAATCGCAGGTTATGTCTCCAGGGGTACAGGGTGGAAGGCTGCTTGTACACTTACACTTACCCAAGAGTCAAATCCATATTTCAAGATTCGAACCCTTGACGCAGCAGCCTCAAGCAAAACTGGATTTCTCCACCCTCCTCTTTTACCACTTGGAGATGTGCCCTGGGGCAGCTTTGCATCAATCCTCGAAGAGAGTGTTTTAGAGTTAAAAAATCGAATCGAATCAATCACAGCATGACTTATCATGGATAGTAAGAACTGAATGACCAAACACACACCGGAAGATATCATTTCTCTATAGACGAAAATACAACACTTCATAAACGAAATTTATGTTTGGCAAAACTTAAATTAAAATATAAGCTTGTCAAATATACTTTTTATTTACAACTACGGCCATGCTACATATACAATTAGAGTTGACAACCCCAATTGACTACCACACACACAAGAGTGGGTCCAAGATGAATAAAAAAAATCGTGAACCCCCTTCTTGTCAAGAGGTTGTCAACTAAGGTTGTACAACTAGCAAAATTCTTACAACTACTTAACCCACTTATGATCCATGTATACCCGTTAGATCAACATTTTATAATCACTAAAAATTTTGATTATGCTCTAAATGCTTGTTTGGTAGGGATTTTATTAATTGAATTTTTGACCGTTAGAGATAAAGTGAATCCTACTTATGAAAGAAGAATTCAAAAATAACGATAAAAAAATTGATGTTAATTGGATTAAAATTTCTACCAAACATGTTCTAAATTACATTGTGACAATATCCATCATAATGTATATGTCTGAATGTGAAAAAGGAAGTGGAATCAGAAAAACAGTACATGTAGACATGTACAGATGTACTACATCTTAAAGTATCAAAAGGCAATGAAATCAGAACAATAGTACATGTAACATCTTAAAGTATCAACAAGGCCAAAGATATATGGATAATTTTCTAGAGGGCCAAAGAATATAAAAATATTCTTGGCTCTTGTGATTTCTGTTACAAGTCCTTAAAACTGAAGTTCAAAATGCAAACTGTCACATAAGGAATATTAGATTCTTCTCTGACCAAACTCCATTGACATAATGGCACACATTGTCCTAACCACAGCCATGCTACTTAATAACCGTAGTTGGTGCCATAGTACGAAGAGTAGCCTCCAGTTTGTCCTGCAAGACTAGGATTTGAAGGAGGTGTATATACCGAACCATGAGTTGCATAAGAATTATAGCCTTGGTCAGCAGCAGGAGCAGTCTTTGATTGTGGGGCTGCAGCTTCTGCCATGAAATTCTGTAGTACAAAACCATTATAATTATTTGATGAGATTCAGCAACTATTTGAGCATATTCAATGCCCTATTAGTAATGATAAAGTAAAACTGCATTATGTCCAGGTAAACATTAAACCATCAGTTTCTGCCATTTTAGGTTTCACAACGGCCCAACATCAGTTTCTCCTCATTTCTCTTCCTACTCCTCACACCCCTAACCAAAAACAAAAGGGTAAGGGTAAGAGTAAGGGATGGGATGTGGTGTTAGGAAGGGTTGTGTTATTTCAGCAGGAGTATTTTATCATAAATAAACACCTTAGCTTCTTGATAAGACTCAATTGCAAAGAAGCTAAACATCAAGAGATAGAACATCTTTCAACTAATTTCAGATCTTACGGCTTACATGTAATCCCAATTAATAAAAAAGCAGCAGCATCTCAGTCAAAGTATACCATGTACATAATTTATTTCGAAGTTCATAATAAAAACTTGAGTCTATTCGTCAGCTTGAATCCATGATAAGCAACTTCATTCATATGCACAAAAAGGACAAAAGATCAAGGCATGGTTGAGCAATCACGTGCATAAAAAATTCTGAAAGGGCCAAAGTTATAAGAAATAGATGCATACATTAGAATTATAAATTTAAAGCCCGGGTTAACAGTATTACCTGAATCAACTGCTGAGCTGTTTGGACTTGAGAAGCAGTTCCAGTAATCTCAACTGTCATCTCCCCAGGAACCCCCCTAGTTTCCTGTATAGTAACTGCAGCACCACTAACCCGCCGAATATAGCTTACATTTGCACCTGCTGTACCAATTACAGCATCAGCATAAGATAGTGAAATCTGCATTTGTTGTGTGACCTGCAAAGTCGCAAAACTCAAATCACTCAAGGAAATAAAACATATACGTCCTTTTCCTTTTGTCTACCACTGTTTCCATATAGTCTTATCCTATAGCACACTTTATGAGATTTGTTCTGATGGGCTCAAATGTCCAAATGAATAAATAATTAAATCTGGTTCTAGCTAACCAAAAACTCCATTCAGAAATCACCGCGAACAAGTATCAATCAAGAACAAAATCAGCACTGCCACAGGCCCAACAACCAAAAAGAGAACACACAAATACTGATTAATTATTGATCCCAACTGTTCTCGCCTAGCACTAAATACTACTTAGGTACCTGCAAGTATGAGAAAAAGGAATGATGACTTCAGTTTTCATCTGTCAAGGTATTTATTAAGCCCCTGTTTGAGCTCCATTATCTAAAAATTCATTTTGCCTCAAACTCATTTTTAACCACACATTCTCCCAACAAAATAATTTTGCATGTAAACTCAAAATTTTTCCTACTTTTTAACCACAAATTCTCCAAAGAAAAAACACTATTGTAAAATCTATTTTCCCCTTATAATGGGGCTCAAACATGGACTAAAAATGACAATTTTTGAGTTGATCTAATTATTATGAAGTGATACTCAGCTAGGCAAGGCCATGGCAAGCGATAATTTCCAATCAAAATAGCTAGCATTCGGCCTTGATAAATGATCAGTTAATAGCTGAACAAGTAGTTCCTTCAGTTCCTGTTAAACCTCATCTGCGTGCAAAGGAAAATCATATTACACTACGGATAATTTTTGCCACTTAAAAAGGATGGAGCTCATAGCACAGCAGTGCTTTTTGTGTTTGAAGAAATTTCATAACAGGAATGCTAATTTAAAGTCAATCGTCTCTCCGCATTTTTTTAGGATTCACCATCACCACTTTAGTCTACTTCACATATCTAGTTGAGGTAAGTGCAACTTCAACAACAACAACAAACTAAGCCTTGTTCCCAATAAATTTGGGTTCAGCTGTACAAAACCTTTCTCACCAACCCATTTGATCCACCATAAATCCATGGCAAGTAACAATGAAATCGGAACTTCTGCAACCACATAAAGCCATGTGAATTATGGCCCCGCCCCTACCCCTTCCTCTTCTAATTCTAAAAGCACCAACCAATCTATTGTATCAATAAATTTAACAAAGGAAAGGGAGTCTTAAGTTAAGATACACACTAAATTAGTTCTTATCAAACAAAACAGGCTGTGGAAATTGACCTGCAAACTCAATCTAGGGCATAACTTCAACCATAACATAGTTGAGACTTGATAACTTGCAAAGTATATGCATGCAAGAAACTGCAAAAAGCTTTACAAGACTGCCAATTCTGTCGATAAAGCTGTATTGCTCCACTGATTGATTCAACCTACCTTATCCGACATTTGATGAGGAAGAAGAAATTAAGATAAACATAGAAAAACCAAACCCACGCGAAGAGTAATGAAGGTGTGAGAAGGTAGGCTTGATCTATGCATTGTCATTCCAGGTCCAGCCGTGTTGGAGATAGTTGTTATAAAATTGATAGAACCTAAAATGGATGAAACGTACTTGGTTTCCCAGGATGAGTGGCGCCTTCTTTATTCCTTCTAAGTGATAGGTTTGGAAGTAGGTTCCGTGAGTCCAAGCCAACAAGAAAAAGCACAGAAAGCGAAGCTGCTGACAATATATAAGGCCACTATTATAGAGAGTTCATGAGTACCTGCAATTTCTTCCCTTTTTACCAGCAAGTATTGTCTAGGCATAATTTACGAGAAACTTATCTAGTAGGGTTTCAAATTCTTTGTTCATGGCTACGTTCTATGATGAGATTTTGAAATTTATATATAAACCAATATCTGCTATTTCTGATTCATATTTGCATCAACATAGTAGCGTTCATATCAGTCGCAAAGAAGAAGAAGAACCTGAGTGATTATTGATTGCATGGGCTGGTTTGATGATGAATGCACTGGCATTGGCACTTCTCTTCCATAATCAGATATACCCTGATGAGGTTGTTTTTCTGACAGAGATGGCATGTCAGCTGAAGGATAATAATTATCAAATTGCCTAGGAGGTGGCATGAAATGAGGGCTGGCCCCATATCCAGGACCTCCAGCTGCATTAGGAGGAAAAGCTTGAGGAGGCGGACCCCAAGATTGGGCAGGAGGCATATGTTCCATCTGCGAATTGGGCATTTGCATCTAACAAGAGAAGCAATAAATGAGGTTCAGAAATATATTCGCTTGATTAAAAATCTGACCTGAAACTGGACTTTCTAATGAAAGGCAGGCTTACTTGCATTTCGATTATTGGTATTATGCTGCGGTCAACTAAAAACTTTCTCAGATGACAAGCAATTAATTCAATTGCTTTGTGTATACCTGTCGGCTCTCCTACAACTTCCACAATCCTATCATCTTGAAGGGCAAAAACAGGTAGGTCTTCTGCAATGATTTATGTCAACAGTTAGAATGATACGAGACAAAAGGAAAGATTTAACTAACTACATTTCTACGTAGCACATTAGCATTTGACTATGATAGTAATTGAACGTATATTTGGCAAAATCTGTCATCTTGTTCAGTAATGAATAATTGTTATACAAAGGTAGTTAAAGAATAAACAGAAGATACAAGAAAAAAGGTTAAACAGAAAACCTAGGTCAAGACTTAGGAACTGAATAAATTTGAATTACATCAATAATATATAGTATATAATTTATTCTCTGATTTAATATTTTACTCTGATTCAGCAGCAAATCAAAATCAAATCTACTCCTAATTTTTTGAAATAAATGCATATTCCTCAAATAAACGCAAGCATTAAAACTAGAAATCTAAGATTTCTATAGAACAAGTGAGTTTCTTGAAATTAGAGAAGCTTAAGAGAACGAGTCATGTAGACTGATCATTAGGAAGGAAGGTCCAGTTTCAGATATAATTTATAGATTTAACCTGCTCTCTTCAGTTAATTTAGTTCATTTGCTCAATTATATAATTTATTCAGTCACTGAAAGTAGCAAATAGATGAAATGAAGATTATAATTCTAAGCATGCTTAAAAACCGTGCAACATTGCACACCATCTTACTCTACTGCTCTGCCTCAACTTGCATCCTTTTTGATATTTTCCAACACATTATTCAGATTATCGGTTATTTTATACCAAATCCACGTAAAGCAAATATTATGGACTGGAGATGATGAAGAATTACATATTTAAACACTAGGCTCTTGATGAAAATCAGCGAAGACAATAAAGTTGACTAGAAAAAATTGAAGAATTGCAGATTCACGTCCTACGCTGTTGAAGAAAAACAGCAAACACCAGCTTCAAGAAAACAATACGCAGGAAGTTCTTTCTACATAAGAAAGTACACAAAAAGAATTCCATGAATCTAAAAACATGAGAAACTACATAGAGAGATGCAATACCACCAAGCAGATTATTAGAGGATTGATGTGATCCTTGTCTTGATAAAGTAACAAAATAAGATCATCATTAAAAGGTAAATAATTATATTCATAATAAATTAAGAATCACGGATATGGACAGGGTGGAAAAGATATAAAACTACACAACATTAAGAAGCCTAACATCATTTTCAAAAAATAAAAAAATAATAAAAAAGAGTACAAAAACTAAGATACGTCATATGACATTTATATTTTTTGTAACATCACCAAAAAAAAAATTTATTATCCTGATGGAAAACCACAATACACAAGTTGAACATATTTACACTCTGTTTGAGCTCCATTTTTTTTTAAAAAGTGAATTTTATAATAGTGAACTTTATGGAGAATGTGTGGTTAAAAAGTAGAAAAAGTTTTGGATTACGTGTAAAATTATTTTATTGAAAAAATGTGTAGTTAAAAATAAGTTTAGGAAAAATGAGTTTTTGGGTAATGTGGCTCAAACAGGAACTTACAATTATAGAGAAAAATAATATTAATAACTATAAATTGGTAAAAGCTTTTTGAATTGCAATACTCAAGATGAGATAAAAACAATAGTTGATGGAAGAGAGCACAGATACCAGAGGATGGATTTTAAATCTTTGGTAATTACTATTTGCTTCATCCTTTTCCACAATATTTAAGTCTTCTTCCACTTTGCATCCTCAATAGAACCTAGAAGTTTATTTTATTAAAATATAAAGTTGTGTTTTAACACAGCAAGTGTCCTTTGGTGTGTTTGGAGCATGTCCAAGATCAGAAAAATAGTAGAGGTATACTGAGCATATGCTCCATGGCAAATCAATTTGATGGGCTATGCGAATGGCTTGTATGGGCTTTGTCAGCTACTATTCGGCAACATGAGTTTTAAGCATTTTGGGCCAATAGTTTAGACTCAGGACATTGCAAGTCATACCTAGATCACCCTCCCTCGTGTGATGGTAATAAGCCTGAGCTTGTGTAATAAGCAGCTCCCAGTGCTCCATACAGTATCAGAATGGTTCAAGTTCCAATAATGTTTCCATCATCTATTAGAGCACAGAAGTGGATGCTAAACTAAGGTGCAACAATGAATACCTATTCCTCAAATGCCTCTTCAAAAGTTTCTGTCTGTCAGTCTCGGAGTGTTGAGAAGATTCGAACACTAAGGGAAATTTCTAAAATCTTAGAAATTATCTTATTTTTAGCTTTTTATGAAACAATTAATATTTGGAAAGTTATGGTATATTTTTTATATATAAAATGGATCATAATTCTATAAGAAAAAAACTGACATGTTTCTAATCCTTAAAAAATAATTAGGTTCCAAGATTTTCTTTTTCTTTTTTTCTCTTGCAATAAAATTTTTTCAAATGTGAAACTGCAAACCACACCCGTTGTTTAGGTGAAAATTATGGGAATGGTTTATATGGACATGGGTCCAAGTTCTTACAATGGGAGTCTCTTCATATTTCAATTTTTTGGAGTGTCTCCATGTTTGATGCCCACTATAATGTCTTTACTTCCTAGGATACTAAAGCTAAAAATAAGTAGAATATTTGATCTAGTTGAAGATGTTTGTTTCACATTTCCTGTTCATGAACGAGAAATCACATTTTACTACTGGACAACTTGTGATGTTACCAAGGCTTCTATCTCATGAGTTGCCTGGCCACAAAAAATGATCAAACAAAAATTCATTTTCGTAGCATGTCATTTATTTTCAGTAGAATGAATATTCTTTTTGTTGATGTCAAATCATGAAGAAGTTTTTATTCCTGCGCCTTCAGAGAAAACTTTTTCCAGTAAGAGTCATCTTGAACATATACAAGAATATACTATCTCCCTCAAATTGACTCAATAATTTAGTTCAGTCTCTTCAATTATGCAATTTTTTTTATTTTTTTTTAAAGATTTAGAGGATACATTTCATGGGGAGGATACAAGTAAACATTAGAAAATAAAAACTTGATTCTGACTCATTCAATTAGGCAGAAGAAGTTGTGTATATAAAAAAATAATAAAAAAAAAAATTTTAAAAAAATAACAACTACTGATTTAAAAAGATGTCAGCGATTTCAGAAAAGGGTAAGACTGTGATCAGGTTGCCAGGCTCTCTGGTCAAATTATTGGAACCAAAAAAAAGGGAGCGGAGCAAGTTCTAGTCAAGGGTCGCCTGGGTTAAAGAGAAAAAGACACTATAATGCTAAGCCAGAGAAGCAATGTAGATACAGATGCAATTCAATTTCCCAATAGTAGAACTGCACATAGAAAAGCATATGAAAAACCTGGTCCAAGAACTCTAACAATACAATTAGACTCTTCCTGAATGGATTTCACTGTTGTGCCTTGTTTTCCTATCAAAAATCCCGCTTGTGCAGCTGGTACAAGTAGCCTTGTTGATACCTTGCTCCCTACAGCTGCCGGATCATGAGAAGAATCATTGTCCAGCCCATCCAAAACCTGTTTGTGAACCCTAAGTAGACCATCTATTGCAGATGGAAGTGAAACATTAGGGTCTTCCTTGGCAGATACCATAACCTATACAGAAGGCAAAAAAAAAGGGGCAGCACCATCGATGTTACAAACTTTTCCATAAAAAAATATAGAACTCATATAAACAAGAGAAGAGGTCCCTTTTGTAAGAGTGATCAGAAAAATCTAAACAGTACTAGGATGCATAAAACGCTGGGCAGAGATCAGAAAGCCGGAAAAATTTTAAAATGTTGTGTTTTACAAGTACAATTTTGTCTCATTAAATTATGTAAAGGGGAAAAAAAGGGCACTGAAGGATTGGATGAGTATTTCTGTTAATACATACTAAGTTGGGAAGGGAAATGGAGATAATTTCATCGGAGCTAAAATTGAAAATTTAATGAAATCACCATAGTGGAAGGTGAAACTCGTAATTCTGTACAAACACAAAAATAGCATATCAACAGTTTCACCAGGGTTGTTGACAAATAGATGTTTTGAGATGATTTATTGAATACTCTTATGGATTGTAAGCCCACGTGAGGCAGGTTCGCTGATATGTTTACATAACGAACTGAGCCATGGCACCTTCAAGGGACATCACCAAGGTTGTCAAATCCCTAGCGATACCAGTAGTTAAACAGCCCATGTTTCCAAAGCCAAGCTCATATCTGCCCTAGTCTCATTAAAACATTCACCAGAAAGTGACAAAGTTTTGACTCGATGCCCTCATTGTGAGGATTTGTTCCATTAAATAGAAAATTAGGGTACAAATCATGTACTGATTTCTATCAATTACAGCTATTTTGGGTCTATCTATGGTATGTTATATTTACATCGTATATACACTAATTATGGAAAGAAATCCCTTAATTGCTTCCCGTTGATAGAAATTAGGACTTCCATTTTATTCACCTGACAAAGAAGCGACTTGTGCCACATATACAGTGGCATGCAAAGCTCCAATTGCAAGACATATAGATGCCACCTAGCCTCATGTACATCTTTTTAGAGAATAAGCAAAACACCGATGTTTAGTCAATGGTGCTAGTATTGTAAAACTGGCTGAAAATTGATATCTAGAAAATCAAAGAAGCAAATGTGCCAAAAATACACTAGGAAATAAATGCAAAGACGTATATCCATCTTTTAAAAGTAGAAAGCATGAAGCAAAGCATTTCATGTTTCATGGACCAATGCTTAAGCACTAACACCATTGGAATTAATTCCCGTAGACCATAACTGTCGCATTGCTTATATTTTTTTCACGCACTCTTGCAAACTCGTGCATGAATTAAAAATAAATAGTAAACAAATACTACATAGCAGAAATAAATATAACAGTTTATAACTGTTTAGTTGGTATTTCCCTAAACACATATAGATTCAGTTCAATCTATGGCTATTAAACAGTGTACTGCAGCTGATATAAAATGCATACCAACTCCAACTAGAAAGATGTAAAATGAAGATTTATGCCAATAAACTAATATCTAGATTATCCTATCAAAAGAACATGAACTAGAGAAGCTGACAGAAAATTTCTTAGCCAGCTCAAACACTAATTTGAACTTGTGAAACTACTAATAACAGGCAAGGACGCTTAACACACGTTGCAACAACTGAAATGTCAAAATTAAAGAGAGAATAGAGACTGAAAAAAAAAAAAAGCACTAATAAATTCCGTACTCCTAGCCAGCCAACAAAAAATCCACAGTAATATGTTAAGTCACAAAAATAAAATTTCACTTACAGCTCTTTCTCTCGTCCCTGGAGGGCCGTCAAGAACCTTAATCCGAGCTTTTGTTTCTTCACATGTTTTCTTAATGTACTCTCCCTTACGTCCAATTATACTGCCAACCTTTTGTGCAGGCACCAAAATCCTGAAAACACTCTCCCCAGGCCATCCAGGCCATTTCTCACCCTCCGCAGCAACTGAATCATCTCCAAGGTCCAGTTTATTTTCTGAATGTGAGTTATCCAGTATTCCATCTTTGCATTCATGTTCATTTTCATTTTCATGTACATCCACATCTTCATTTTCGATTTGTTGCTCTTGATCTTGATCTTGCTCTTGCTCTTGCTCTTGCTCTTGCTCAATAAAACTCTGATCAAGTTCAGCCATGAGCTCTGTGCTGAAAAATATAAATGTAAAAGTAAATTAATTCTGCTCAAAAGCAGAGTGCAAATTAACTATCCACAAACTAATACATCACCAGTTCCCAATCATCCTTCGAAAACAGTCAAAATTGGATATGAAGTAGTTAAAGTTTTTGCACTAGAAAGAAATGCAACTTAACCACTTTATGAGGTCGTCTACTGAGAGACAAGCAGGCAAGGAATCATATGAATGGGAATATTTGTGAGTAACTAAAATATGATATGAAACGAGAAAGAATGAAAACACAGAAAGTTTGCTTTAAATTGTTAAGCTGAGAAGGTTTTCCTTGTACACGGTTTATCATTAGCATGACACGAATAAAACCAGGAATTCCTTTTGATGCAATCAACCCATCAGATAATCAGCTGTAAAAATTGGAACTACACATACATGTAATGCACTATAAGAATATAAGCAGGGATCTATCATTTTCGTTAATAGAAGAAATATGTGAAAGAATTTTATCATATCTCCAACTTATTATTTTGTCGTACATATATGTCAAAAGCATGAGGAAATAACTGTAAACGTTATTGCTTCAATATACTTCGTATTCTCCAAAATATATCGTATATTTTTAAAAAATAAATAAGGGAAGAGATGTAGTAAAACAAATTATACTACCACCTCATTACAAAATATCAATTTTCATTAAAATCAGCACATTTTGCTATAAGACAAAATTGACTGATTTTGTAAAGGACACAAGGAAAGCTGCATATCCTATGCAATATTTTAATATAACTTTAAAAAATTCTAAAGTTGCAATTTGAATATGATGTTAGTGTGTTTCAAGGTCATCTTTTGCAGAGCTCTTGCAGCAAGTTAAAGTTGAAAAATTGCACAATTTCTTCGATGAAGAAAAACACAAGAGAAGGAAAAGAGATATTCTGGTATATGAAGTTCTTAAATTGATCTTACCCCTTTTCTTCGCTGCATGATAAAAAAATAAATAAATGATAATAAAATCGTGATTGCATAGAAGGTGTCTTCCAAGTTCCAATTTATTCACAATGCAAGAATTCCTAGAACCAATTTAAAAGTAATTACTAAAGATAATTCTCTAACAACTGAAAATAATGAGTACTAGCATGAAGCTTCAAATGAAAAAATTTAAAAATAAAATAAAAAATTGGAGGGAACCATAGACTGAGACATAGAAGACAAATGCAAAGGAAGCTAGAGAGTTAGTTTCCCATAGAACTCAAGGAAAAATGAGTTAATTCAATAGCTCAGTTAGATTTCATTGTATAAAACTAAAAACAGTGCTTAAAATTCAGACTTGAAAAACCAATTCCAAAAAGAAAGAAGACAAATTTCATCCGGACTCCGTGCTTCGTCAGAAACCCATTAAACAAAACACAGTAATCAGCTTAGTAAGCAAGAAGAGATACAATAATTGTCAAACATTACTTCACACTAAAACCCATTAGTGAATTAAAGATTTAGAGCCTAACAAAAGGTAAAAAAACACATAAAATTAAGAAGCAAATAGCAGTGTAATAGATTTGTGTAGTTACATTAATGGTCGGAGAGAGAGAGCACCGCAAGTGTATAACAGAGTGACAGGAGATAATTGTTGCCCTTTCGTTCTGTGATGTATCTCCAATTAGGTTTTAGGAGATTTTCAAATTTATTTATGTCAATGAAGAGAGCGCCCGAACGGAACCCCTAAAGAACGAATGAATCGTTAATTTATAGTCTCAATTTTCTTTAGTTCTTAAAAATTAATAAAGAAGGTGCGTTATTAGGTGCTTTCCTCTATTTAGTCTTTGTTTGATTTAGCTAATATAAAAATTGATGAAATACGAGTTTATTAAATTGATCAAACTTGTGAATCTCATAATCAGTTGAAATGAGTTTTAGGAAAAATAAATTTTGGGTGTCAAAGGGGTTTAATGTAGCTCTTATTTGATTTTGCTAAAAATCATATTTTTAGTAGTATCTTGATAAAAGTTTAAAAAATGTGTGATTGAAAAGTTAATCAAAGTTGTAAATTCATGAAATGTGGAGTGAATTATCCAAACAGTCATTAAACTTTGCAAAAAAATTTCACGGGATCACTGAATTTTAAAAATCATCCAATTTATCACTGAACTTCGCTAAAGGTTTTCACGAGGTTACCGAACTTTAAAAATCACCGCATTCATCACTGAATTTCACAAAAAGTTTCTACGGGAGTTACTGAATTTTAAAAATCACATAATTTATCACTGAACTTTGCAAAAGGTTTCCCAGGGGTCACTAAAGTTTTAGTGACCCCTGAAAAACATTTTGTAAAGTTCAGTGATCTCGAAGAAACCTTTTACAAAGTTCAATGATGAATTTGATGATTTTTAAAGTTCGATGTCCCTGTGGAAACATTTAACAAAGTTCAATGATCATTTGGGTAATTCACACTGAAATGTGTGATAAAAATAAGTTGTGAATTTGACTTAAAATTTTATCAAAATTTTAACTTAACCAAATAGAGGCCTAGACTTTTAAAGATTTTGAGAATTTAGAAAGTTTAGGCATATTTAATTTGGACTTTTTAAAATCTCTATAAGTCATGAGGCATTCAAATAGACAGTGATTTTTAGAGAATTCTCTACTTACTGGACTTTTTGGTGGAAAAATATAAATAACAAATCTCAAATAAAATCTCTTATATACTCTAAGATTTGTGAATATTTCAAAGCCCAAAAAAGGTCATTTTTCTTTCAATTCTAGTATTTTCTCATATCTCTTTAATTTATGATTACTCTATATATATATATAATTACTTTTCAATTGAAATTATATGCAATTGTTTCAAAACATAGAATTCAATGCAATCGATTTTTATTTTTATTTTTTTTTAGGAACAATATGTGTTATTAGAAATAAAGTTAATTTCATGAAAAAAAAATGGTTATGTTCTTAGAATTTGATATTACATTTTTTTCATTTTTTTATTTGCAACAAAATTGAATGACTGCACGATGAATACTGACTTAATTCAAGAAATTTTTGTGGGCATTTATGGTTCTCGAAAATGTTAATTAGATAATAAGAAAGATTGTAATTTTTTCGGTAGACAATGAATTTGCAAAATGAAAAGTCTTTTAAAAAACTTTAATCAAAGTATACAAAAGTACATGGAAGACTTTTATTAATTCTTAACAAGTTCATAGAAGTCACTTAAAAGAGTATCTTAAAAAAGTCATTTTTACATAGTTGTTTTGTGAATAAAAATACGTGAAATGTGATATTATGCCGATTATCATCAAGTTATACCTATTTAAAAACTAATTACATGGAATTGACCAAATTGGGCATACCATCATACCCGTATTTAACCTTTGATTTTACAATAATTTAATTGTCGTCATCCTAAAATTAGAGGTAATAGAAATAAAAATTAATCTTGAACTGAAACTTTACACATTATCTAACTAAATGATTTCCAAGAATAATGTGGCATGTGAATATGTCCAATTAGGCTATTATATATGTAAACATGTTTAATATTGTTACCAATTGCAAAGAATTTCAGTATGTAGATGTTGCATCTCACATGTAAATTGTTGATCAAATGCTTGATCTAATTCTCCAGTGAAATCCTAAAGCAAACTTGCAGATTTTTCTAGTTGTATTCCTCATCATTTGAGGTAACGATGTCAACTGAACTAAAATGACTAACTTTTCACTAAGACTATATTTGATAGCACTTCAATTCCATGAAAGATGGAAAATTTTCAACCATTTTCCAACTAATGGCTTGTTCGATAGCTAATATTTTCTTGGCAATTCATTTTCTAGGTTTAGGGCACGTGACCTATTTTTCCTTGTTTTGGTGGAATTGAAATTCTTATGGTTTTGGTGTCATTTTGTTTTCCAGGCAATTTTTTATTTTATTATTTTATTTTATTTTTTGCAATGGGAACAATTGTAAAAGATGACATCCCTTAAATTGACAATTTCTATATAAAATAAAGTCAAACGAACACCAAAATATAGATGATTTTGGATCTTTTTTTTCCACAATGGAAACAAATATATGAACAATTGTAGAAGTAGATATCCTTTAAATTGACAATTTTCATAAAAAATAAAGTCAAATGAATACTAAAAAATACTTTAATTTCAACATTTTTTAGGTGAAAAATTATATTAATCAAACACTATTAATTGACAATTCCAGGAAAATAATTTCTAGGGAATTCAATTTTTCAAAATTCGTTTTCTTTCCACCCAAATTCCATATTTGCAATCAAACGAACCCTAAAGGTCTTATTGAAAAAGTGAAAGGAGTAATATGATTATAGGGATGATTTTTTTTCTTTTCTATTTTTATTTTTAAATTTTAAATTAATTTTCTGCATGAAATATCATGCTATGTTACAATTTCACTGAAAAGTATTTATATCATGAATTCTTTAATTATTTCAAAAGGCATGCTCAAGTTTGAACCGATTAAGCCCTTATATGATTTTGAATTTTTCAAAATCAAATTTTCTCAAACTTATTTTTAACTATATATTTTTCTAATAAAATAATTTTGCATGTAGACTCGTAAATTATTCTTACTATTAAACAACATATTCTCCAAAAAAAAAAAAAATCGTTTTTTATAAAATCAATTCTCAAAAAATAAAAAGCATACTGTTTCACGCGGGTTAGTCTCTAACAATTAAAAAGGATCAGACGATTGTGTAAGGGACAAACCTCTTGAGACAAAATCCCAAAAAGGGGTGTTCTTTTATTGGCGATAACTTTACAATTGGAAATTAAAAACAATGTGCCTCCAAGGGGCGCAAGCACACGAGTTACTAAAAGAAAAGTGTTTAAGTCTAAATTAAGGAAATTAAAATTACATATTCTCTGATCGAGAGTTTTTGATTCGGTCATTTGCTCTATATTTTTTCTCTCTTTTATACTTCATGGATGATCTCTTTGTGATCAACCGCCTAAAAACCGCTTGATTGTCCTATAACTGCCCACTTTCCTCGTAATGGGCAACTTGTCATGAAAATTGTCTTTTTTAACTGCTGCCATTACTCTTTGTCGTTCAACCGCTTTCGATTGAATTCTTTGAATCGTGGAACGTGATAGGGCTACTTTAATAATTGCTTTGATAACTGCACGTCTTGATAACCACAACGCTTTATGTTTGTTAAGACCTTAGGCGACTTGAAGGTTTGAGCGAGAATAGAGTAACAGCTCTGAGCGACTGTATGGCACTCCATTCGCTCAGATTCTGGGCGACTTGCAAACTTGGGCGATGACGTTACCGCATTCTTGGGCCTCCCTATTTGGGCCTTCATCTTGATTTGTTTGATTGGGCTTCGTTCTTTGGGCTATCTGATTTGGGGATCTTCCAATTGGGCTTCACTCCTTGGGCCGTTCGATTTGGGTTGAATTTTTATGTGTCAACAATTACCCCCCAATATGGCAGAATTAATAATAATTATTAAATTTTGCCATATTCACTTTGTGTTTCTAGCAACATTCGAAATTTCCAAGAATTTCAATCATTGTTTTCTTCTATAACTTGAAAAGGTGCGTTGTTTTGCAAACCCTTATAACCCCCAAACACGCCATTTCACTGCACCACTAAATCACGCCTCAAATTTTTCGCGTCTCTCTCACGATTTACTGTTCATCTTTTGCTTCCCTGCTACGTAACCCTGAAAAACTTCGTTCCATCTCAAATGGCTACTTCTTTAGTTTTGATGACTTTCAGAAACTCCTGAGTCGTCCATACATAACTCCGAGTTTTCTCGCGCCCGCCGATGTTGAACGCAATGAGTTCTACTTAGGTCCTTTCTTCAACAATGCAGAGGCAGTTGAACAGGCGGCGGTGGGTCAGCTATTTCCTTGTACTCACGGCCCTCCATTTCTAAACTCTCTGCCGCTGGGGCCACTTCGTGAAAGAGGTATTCGCACTTGGCCTAAATCTGATGTAGCTTTCCATAGGTGGCATGCTCGCCTTGTGGGTCATGGTCCTACTAAGGCACTTTTTGATAGCGCTAGGATTTCTGATTTGTTAGAAATCTCTATTCGCCCCCCTACTTTAGATTCAGCACTCTTTTCGATTGCTTTGAGTTTTTGGTCTTCCAAGTATAATGCCTTTATTTTCCCTCGTGGCCCCATGTCTATTACCTTAAGGAATGTTGGGACCCTGGTGAATCTACCACCTTTGGGCGATACCATTTTTCCTGGTATCTTGGTTTCTGGTGGCGCCCCAAAGTTTGGTAAAAACTACACCGAATCTTATTCAAGCCTGCAAACCCTTCACAATCATTCGAGCGCTGAGCCTTCCCACACTGAGCAAGTGGCCTTCCTTCTAGTTTGGCTTTGTAAATATGTTTTGTGTGTGCCAAGCATAAAACCCTCCCTGAGTTACTTACCTATAGCGCACGAATTGACGCGTGGCAGGCCTTTGAATTTATGTTCTTTGTTTTTGGCTGCCCTTTATAGAGGCATGGCCTCTCTTCAAACTCAATTGAAGAATGGTGCATCTATCACTGGCAGTGGACCTCTTTGGTTCACTCAACTGCGGTTGAGATCCTATTTTCCATTGCTTGGTGCTCCATCAATTTCTCGCTCCTCTGCTAGCTGTTATGGGCTAGCCATTGAGCCCTTGGCTCCTGTAAATATGTCCAGAAGTAACATTTTTTCATTCTTTTATTCTTTGGATTCAATCTCTTCCTTTT